TGGTAAAAACTTTTCCCCACATTGTGGGTTGTTTCTTAGCTCTGCTGGTGATATATCTGGCAGAAGCTTTTTTAAAAAAATTAGATCCCAATTTCTAAGTCTTTGTTCTAGTTCCTGTTTTACTGAGAATTTGTTCATAAAGCTTTTTCCTAAGCCGATATCTTCAAAAGTTCTACCTAACTTATCCTCCAGCAAGTTTAGTGTTTCTACTTTAATATTTATATCTATAATCCACTTGGATTTTGGTTTAATGCATGGTGAAAGTTAGGGGTCTGGTTTTCATTTAAGTTTATGTTTCTTGTTTTTCATAATGTGGGGTGATTTGCAAGAGCAAAATGGTAAAGAATGTTTCTGCTTGAACATCCTAAGGTCAGATATGCCCAATAATTTCAATCTCTGAAGATTATATAAATGGCTTTTTAAAGATAACCAAAAAATCCAGCACAGTTATTTCCAAATCAATCCATGGAACCTTTAAGTACATATCATACACTTTAATGTAAAGCAGTACAATAAATCCGGTGCTATTATAAAGTCATGGAGGTCTCATTCTATCATAAACTCATAACTTTACAATTTTGAAGATATTCTGTGATCTTAAGACTTACTCTCTTGCTTTCCCATAGTCTCAGTGTCTCACCATTCTGTCTTCCTCATGGTCTTTTGTGTCCTGAGTTCACAGACTTGAGCTTTCATGGATTATTCATGCACCTAGAAGTGTCATGGCTTTGTAGTTGTGCGGTCTTGTAGACTTTAGGTTGTAGTGTTTAAATTTTTAAATTATGTTCTAGGTTTATTGTGCAAACAACTTCCTGGATTTAAAACACCCTGAATTAAGGGATGAGCCTTTTGGAATTACTTGTATGTTTTGAGTATTGATCAAACATATATCTCTTTTTACCAATAGCTAGGTCTTTTGAGTTTCTTCTACCACTGTTGCTTGATACAGTCTTTGTCTTCAAACATGAGTATATTTTCTAATTTTCTGATGTTTCTCAAAATATTATTTGTAATATTTCTATGTTTATGATCAATAGAAAGTACCCCTTTTCAGGGCACATTGACAATAACAATAACGTCAAATGCCCAGGAAAGAAATTACCAAATACAATTTAATTGCCTCTAACACCTCAGCTGAATTTGGGTGCCAATGGTCTCTTTTAGAACTGTAGTTCTTTTTATCATAAAAAAATGTACTTTAGCAATAACAAGTTTCAACAGAAGCAGTAGATGTGTGGGAGGAATTCGAAAACAGGGACAGGCATAACATTTTATTGTAGGTGTTTTTTTTCCCTTTCCCCCTACTTGATGTCAGTTCTGTGTGAACTTAATCGCAGCACATTATCTCTTCCTTGGGGATTTTTGTATCTTTTAAAATCCACCTGGCTGTTAATGTCAGCTCCATTTTTAAAAAAAGGAACAACTGTTAAAGAGTGGTAATGCTTATTTGAAAATTTTGAAATCTTCTGGGTTCACATGGGGCCAAATGGAACTCCGTCCTTGACTTTGGCCGGAGACTGTCTCAGATGAACTCAGCTCACCATGCATCACAGAAGCATTCCTAGAATTACAGAATCATCACCCCTTTCCACCAAGCCCAGTGATAGCAACAAATATTAGACACAAAGGAAGAGTGAGGGACTCCTTCTTTCTTTCCCTATTGATGATGAAATTGGGTTCCAAGTAAATGTAAGGGTTTACTTTCAGTCACACTACTAGTCAGTGACGGAGGTAGGAAGCTGAACTCCTGAAGTGCATCCCCGAATCATCATTTCCCTAAATATACTTTGGATTGGTTTTTTTTTGGAATACCCTTTTCACGCACACTCTCCCTAACAAAGTATAGGTTACCCACAGATGATAGGAAGGAAGATACAGCACTGTGTTGTGATCCATCCTTACGTTCTTTGATTCTTTACATCTTTTCATTAGATATGTATATTTATCCATGAGGTAAAATATGAAGCTTTTATTGAGCAAAATGAGACTTGTTGGGGGTGGACAGATCATTTTGGAATGGGCCCCATATCAGACGATGACAATCATACATGCCTTTTCCGTGGGCTACATTTTAACTACATTAAGCAGAAATTATAAAAGTGTTGAATATTGTACCTTACAGTTAATGCTTAAAGTTTGAACATGCACCCAGTGTATTCTGGTCTAGAATTAGACCACTTTTGAAAAGTTGAAATATTGTTAACATAAAATAAGACATATAGATACCTACCATTTATTCTGATGTCTTTGTTATTTTTCTGTTTCTTCTTGTAAAAAGTTTCAGAGAAAAAAACTGAAAAAGTTGTCTAGAGTGTATCCATATCCTATAACCTAGACACAGGTTTTCCTGAGATTCTTCAATCTATTAATCCTGTCTTTTTCCAAATATGAAAAACAATCAGCTATTATTTCTTCAAATATATTAAGGGGTGTCATTTTCTCTTTCGTCTTGTTTTGAACCCTAAATATTCTGTGTATGTTAGATATTTTTGATGTTTCCAGTGATCATTGAGGCCCTATTCACTTATTTTCATTCTGTTTTCCCTGTAGTTTTCTTCAAATCGGATAATTTCTGTTTCTCTGTCTTAAAGGTTAATAACTCTTTATTGCACAATTTCCATTCTGTTTAATCCCAAATTTTTATTTCAGGTATTTAGTTTCTTGGTAACAGAATTACCATTCACCCCACTAGCTTTTTGCTTTTACTGTAATTCTTATTTGTTTTAATCATCCTATAACACAGCATTTTCCCCCCATTTTGTACTACAGCTGTAGCAGTTGCTTTAAATTCTTTGCCCATTAATTCCAATACCTGGATATCTTGGGGTCAGTCTCTGCTGAGTCCCTTATTGCTTGAGAGTGGATGTTGTTCCTTCTTGAACAATTTGGAATTATGTTCTGAACAAATGATATGGCATGAAGACATTGGATGCTTTGAAGTTTCTTTAAAAATACTTATTTTTCATGCTAGCAGGCACATACCTTGGCTGGACTCAAATTGCAGACTGTCTTGCATGCAGATGGAGGCAGCTGAAATTTCAGCTCTCTTCTTCCAGTCTCAGCCGGATGCTAAACATCTTTCCATGCATGTTTAGTCAGGAGATGACAGAAGGTTTGTGCAGAGTGTATTCACAGTTTTTGAGTCTCTGTCTCTCTCTCTCCCTCTTTTTGTTTTTTTCTATTATCCCCTCACTTCCTAGCTGCCTTATGCAACCCAGCCACTGCTGTTTTACTTCATGCCAGCAAGGTTGCCCACTTATATCTGAGTTCTATCTTCTCGGCAGGGTACAAACCAGGGCTGGCCCTTGGGCTGAAAGCCACACAAACATGAAATTCACCCCATTTTGTTTTCTTTATCCAAGTCCCGCCTACCTTCCAGAATCTAATTTTTTCTTTCTCCAGTAGCTGCAAGGAGTTGCTTTTAACATTTTGTTTACAGTAATGTATAGGTGAATTGATCTACTTGGCAACTACCAAAACAGAACTGTCTCCAGTCTCAGAGTTTGGACATTTGTGAACCCTCTTATAACCTCCATCCGAACAAGATCTAGACTATTTCTATGCCCACAACAAGTGGCTCTGTATCCATTCCTTTCCAATCAAATTCTGTTCATGATCAAAATCTGACTTCAATAACTGTACATTAGTCTGGACAATGAATGTTTTCAAATGATTTTTGATAACTAATGTTAGTTTTGATAACTAACGATAATGACTTTTGATCACCATCTAACTTCAAAAAGCATACATTAGTCCGATTTGGGCTTCATATAAATAGAGTCTTATCACATAGTCTTTTGTGCCTAGCTTCTTCCACTTTGCGCAAAGCTTTTGTGGTTTGTCCAGGCTTTTGTTTGCCCTGGTTGCACTTCTCTTTGCATTACTGGATACTATCCCATTACGTGAGTACACTGCAAACCATATACCCACTCTCCTGCTAAGACATACAGTACTTGGAGTTATTCAGGTTTGCGCCATTATAAACAAAGCCACTCTGACTATGTTTGTACAAGCCAATCATTTTTGGACATGCATTACCATTTCTTTTTTATATATACTCTCATGAGTCTCAAAATGATGTTTTGATCAGTGAAGAGCCATGTATGTAATGGTGATTACAACAGAGCTGAAAACTGTCTCTCATAGAGTGACGCCATCATCACTGTGACCTTGAACCACAATGCGTTCCTCATTTTCTTGTGGTGGCACCAATGCAAACAAACCTTCTGTGTTGCCAGTCATTTGAAAACGTCCCACATATAATCACGTACAGTAATAATACTCCATGTGTTACTCGGCTCTCTGTTGCTGGACAAAATGCCTTCAAAGATCAATTTAGATGAAGAAAGTTTTTGCGGCTCATAGTTTCAGAGGGTTCAGTCTGTAGCTAGCCGACTCCATCGCTTTGGGCCTCAAATTTGACAGAACATCATGGTGAGCAGCACGGGACAGAAAAAGCTGTTCACTTCAAGGTAGGCAGGAGGCAGAGAGTGAGGAAGAAATGGCCTGAGGACAAAAGATAACCTCAAGGGCCGCCTGCAGTGACCTACTTCCTCCAACTGGCCCACCTCCAAAGAGCAGCAGAGTCTTAGGACCCAGCTTTCAAAGCATAAGCTTTGGGATACCATTTATACATAGAGATCTTTCTTTAAATGGGAAGGAGAACAAGAGAGGGAGGAAGCAGAGATAGCAGAAAGGGAAAAGGGTTTAGAAAGAGAAAGAGAACTGAAGAATAAAATGGAAATAGAGCTTTTGCAAATGGGAAGGCGAATAAGAGTGAGAGGGGTCGGGGGCTGGAGGGCGGAGAAGGGGACTAAAAAATAATTAAGGTGTATTCTGCACATATGCAACCCCCCACAGTAAATGTAATCATTATGTACTGCAAATAGGTACCAAGAAAAAACATTTTTAAAATCTTGATACTGATAGTAAATGACTATGTTACTAGTTTATATATTTGCTGAGCTGTTTTAGAGTGTACTTCCTCTACTTACAGAAAATAAAAGTTTGCTGGAAGACATTCTGCCACGTGATGCTGGCAGCAGCCACGGGCATCTCGCGTTTAACACAGATCTTGACTGCGCTGGGAGCCGGGGGAGAGACCGGTCTAGAAGGGGACTGTCTAGGTTTATGTAAGTGCACTCTGTGATTGCACAATGGCAGGGTCACCCAAGGATGCACGTTCCCACAGGTTTTCCTGTCACTAAGTTACACGCGTTTGTAGGGAGAAGAGGATTCTCTGAGAGTCCGCGCTCCAAAGTCATGCACCCTGCGACTGAACACCAGCAGTAGCAGAGTTTCCCGTGCTGCATATCTTCAGTAATACTTGGTGTTGTGACTGCTTTTAATCTGACCAAAGTGGAAAACGGTACTTTATTGATTTAAAATTACATCTCACTGACAGCTAGTGATGTTGGAAGCATGTTCCCTTATTTTTTAAATTAGTACATATTCGCAGTATACGCAGCCTCCAGTCGCGTTGGGGAGTGGGTACAAAATACAGCTCATGGTTTGTTTGTTTTTTAATACCCTTCGCTCCCAACTCCTTCCTCTGAATATCCTTTCCCCATTTTCATTCTTGTTGGTGTTATTATTAATCTTATCTCATGTCTGCTTTGATAACTTCTTCTCAACACCTAAAACTTTCACAAATATTTGTCATATTTTTAAAATTAGTGAATGTAGAAGTTATTTATGTATCCTTTATCAGATATGTACTACAAACATTCTTCTGAATAGGCAGCATGTTAATTTGGTTTCTGAATGAGATGCTGATATTTTAAATTTTTGATAAAGCTCAACTTACCAGTTTTTTGCTTTTAGGGAGTGTTTTTTTTTGTTTTTTTCTGAGCTGTCCATGGACTCTTTGCCTATCCAAAATTTACATCTAACCATAATATGGTGAATATTAGTATATTTTTGCAACTTTTTTTCTTCTTTTGAGGCAACTTCTTATTTGTGCAAAATACTTTCTGACATACATTGAAATTGTTTCTGCAGATTTTGGGGATACTGGGCAAGCTAGCTAAAAAAATTAAGGTTCACACAGTGACTTGCATGAAAAAGTGCTTAATAGATGTTTTCAGAAGTAAATCCACTTACCCAGCCAGTAGCAACCATGCCTGCAGATTGAAAACCTCTGCTCTATGGCTGCAGATCCTCGTGGTGATGGATGTGGAACAGAGCCGGAAGTGCTGATCTGCACAGCTGCTGAGCCAAGACAGGAAGGGCCCAGCACTGAAGCACACAGATGCCTCACTTCTGCCAAGACATATGGAGAGGAGCCTCACTTCAGTCCGTCTTTCAAAGACAATACCACCTTTGGATCATGGTAAAAATGCCGTCTTTCCATAAAACACCATAACTGCATATTACCGATGGACCATTAGCTTTCCAATTTAGCAAAGCAGTGCAAATACCTCCAAGTAAAAGTGCTTTACTTAGATTGAATAACAGAGAATTCTGAATATGCCAACTTGGCATGAGCCAAATGGGTGAAGAAAAGTAGTGTTTGCCAAGACTGCCTTGCAGTTCACACAGTTGATATCATGGTGATTTTTCCCATGAGTACTGCTTTTTGCAGTGCTTTTCAGAAATGAATCTGAGAGGACACAGATTGTAGCAGAACAGCTCCAGTGTAGGACAGGTCCCCAAGTCCTCCTTTCTGAAAATCTCCATCATCTGACTTCCCTGCCTCATGCTGCTTATAAGATTTTAGGTAAAGCTTTTGCTGCAGAGTTACTTGATTTATCCTACTCTCCAGGGTTTTTTTTTCTACTTTTCAACATTACTGTCTTCCATTCTTTCTTTTATAGTCTAACTTCAGTGATGCTCTCAATATGGTTAAAGATAGGTTTGAAATATTTTTTTTTGCCTATTATCTTCAGTTTCTCATATGGTACTGTTAGAAATATGTTTTTATATCCATTTTACAGTTACATAGTTCAAGCTCATTATGAAACTGTCAAAGCCATCCAGCTGGTCAGTGGCCTTTTGGAGATTCAAACTAAAGATAGCAGCACAGCATGTCTTTCCCTCACTGCACACATTCCACTCTGCTTCCTGGGTTCAAGGAACCAAGAAATGTGCTCCAGTGGAAGGAAATTCCAGAGGCTAAGCTACTGTCAAGGTAAGACACACGTGTGGTCTTACATCAGCCAGTATGACAAGCTGTGAATAGCTCCCTAGTTATTTCCTGTTGTTTCTGTACCGTCAACCTTGACTCACAACTTTATAATTTGCCGTTCTGGTCAATATCATTTCACTCCTCCAGGAGCAGGTTAGATAAGTCACTAAGTCCCTTTTTGATGAAATAAGGAATAAGGTCACTCCTAGCTTGATATTTGCAAGCTGATTGGAAAGATGGGACAGATAGTTGGCTTGCTTGGGTTATCTTTGCTTCAGTAAGTGGGAAGAAAAAGTTCAAAAACCCAGAAAATGGTAAAAAGACACAAGAGGCCATCTCATTTGGCTTATTTTCTCAAGTTTGTTATTTGTGGCTAGTAGGCCACAGATGAAGAATTTTAATGATCAAAGCCTAGAAATATGCATTGTGCTGTTTTGAATCTGTTTCATTAAAATGTAAGACTGCTGGAGGTATGAAGAGAAAGCTTTAATTTTATTTTGTTTAAAACAGCAGGTAGTATTGACAATCCTTTCAAAGCTGCACAAAGTTACTGTTTAAGTAAATGTTCTAGCAGGATTCCAGAAGATAAGGAAATGCATTTGCATCTTTTCTTTTTCCTTTTTTACAGATAAAATGCAGCAACACACATTGTCCACACGTCCGTCCTTTCATTATGCAGGAAATTAGCTAATATACTTGGAATGCGCACTTTTCCTGCTCAAGGTTTTTATTTTCCATTCTTTTTCAGAAAAGTTTCTTTGTATTAGCCTACCAAGAGGACATCAGTAGTCACCACTAGAGTCACATCACTTACAGTGATAAAACAAAGTGAAAAAAGGATTTTGTTACACTGACAAAAGAGTGTGCAACGGGGTTTTCAGCCTGCTTTCATTACACAGTGCTGGTAGATTTCTTTTAAGAATGAGCATTTGTTATTATAATGCTTATTATGAGTTTTAGCATTTGGCAACTCTAGTTCTGCACTATAAATTTATATTTCAAGATGTCTTTTTTAGATACAGAAATTTGCCTTATCTAATATTTAATTGAAGACTCTTCCTCTTCATCTCAGCATTCCTGTGGTATATGTGCTTATGTGTCTGTATCTGTAATACTTGTAGAGTTGCCCCTCTCTATACATGGGTTCTGTATCCATGGGTTCAACCAAATTGAGAAAATATTTGAGAAAAATATTATGCCTGTACTGAACATATACAATGTTTTCTTATCACTGTTCTCTAAACAATATAGTAGGGCAACTATTGGCATAGCATTTATACTGTATTGTGTAATATGGGTCATTGAGAGATGATATAAAGCATACATGAGGAGATGTGTAGGTTACACACTATGCAATTTGTATAAGGGACCTGTGCATCCGTGGACTTTGATATTGCGTGGGACTTTGGAACCAACTCTCCAGGGATACCAAGGCCGACTGCATAGCCACACATATGTACAATTTGCAGATGGTTTATTATCCATTTTTCTCACTGGTAACATAGAACTACAGAACCATCTTCATGAAGAGTGACATTGCATATACCAGGACACAACACAGCTAACAAGATCATAAAAATCCATCATTCACATCCAAGTCTTCCTTCAGATAGCCAAGTACCTAATGATCAAAGCAGAGAAATAGTCTTACCCCTGCTAGAGGTTATACCTGATAAATGAGACTGTTTCAATGAGAATGTTCGGAATTATAAAATTAAAGACAAATGGTATACTTGCTTTATTCACACATACTCCATTATGCTCCAGGAGGCTGAACCCTTAACTTTTAGGAAGGAGATGAGGGAGACTTGCAATCCAAAAGATGAAGATTATGGCTTAACTTTGCAACTATAGATTTTAACCTAATCAATGCTTATTCTGGTACCAGGAGTGTGGTTCTCCAGCATATATTCTTTGTAGAGGGGGGAGGTTGACAAACATGTGGACATGACAGAGCAAGAACGGGTGAGTGTAGGAATTGTGGGAAAATCAGTAGGGGGAAAAGGAAGAGACAAGAAGGGAAAGAGTTGTTAGAATGGATACAGCAGTAAGGCTGATTTTTTTTTTCTTTTTTGCCTTTTTTCCATTCTCTCAACTTCCTTGAGGCTGTGGGTTCCTGAGGCTATTCCCCCGTGAGTTCAAATATTCTAGTCCGGTGAGACATACAGAAAAATGAACATACAAGACTAATTCTGTGGCCAAATCAATGGCCAAAGGGGACCTCTTCTGACTACAGGGTTTGAGTGTTCGTGAAGGTGCTAGGCTCAGGTCTAGGGCTTGGCAGTGCGGCTGGTCCTGCCAACGCACCATGCAGCCAGTGAGGCAATTTTACTCTCCCACCTCCTTAACCACAGTTCATGCCTGCTCGTCAAACACTTGATTTTCAGGTTTTTGATAACTTCTGCCCACCTTAATGCCTATCAATCAGACTTTATGTAACAGCAGTGTGTTCAGTTCCTAAAATGAAAGCTATTCTTCAGAACAGCTATAAATAGAACAGGCTCTGAGAGCAAAGTGGATGTCAAACACTGTTTGTCAGACCCTAAGAGCAACCAGGCTTCCACAAGGGATTCAGGATGTGACTGCAGCTGGAAGTAAATGCAAGATGTCAGTCGAGGTGATTTAAATTTTTGCAGACAAAAATGAGGAGAAATTTCCTTTCTTTGAGGAGAACTATCCAAAGTATCCCTGAAAATGGTAGGCCTAGCTCAGTGTGAATCCCTCTGCAGTTCTATCCAACCTTTTGAGATTGTGTTACTTAAACTCATTTGGTAGGGCTGGAGCTGTGAGAATTCTCATCATTGACCTAATAGGGCTTGAAACTCAGGCCTGTGAATGGGTAAGATGGTTTTCTAATTTAATTTGAAAACACAAGTATTTCCATGCCCCCAAACCCCTGTCCATCCCTACCAGAACACACGTGTTCATGGTAGTTGAGTACCACGTTATGACATCATTGGGCGCACGCTTTTATATTCTGTACTGTTGGGCAGGTGGTGTCCAGCTCTTCCTACAGTCACAGACTGGAAAGACGACTCCCTAGCTAGGACACTAGGTGGCAGCACACTGCTGAGATAATTAACCAAGGGACCAAGGGGCTCAAACCTCTTAACCAACACCCAAAAGGGAGAAGATAAAAATGGCATATGGTAAAACTGAATGGTACAAAGCAATGGTCTCAGCTGCAAACTTTAAAATTCAGAGTTATAGCTCTTGTATCTCCCTCAAATTTTTGGAACTCTTTGAAGCTAACTCTACCTACCATCAAACTCCCTAGAGCAGTTACATATGTGATAATAGCCCCCAACACTTTTCTGATGAACCATATACAGTTTCAGATGTCCATATATTATAGGTTCTTCAATTCATCATTAAATTTATCTTTTAATAAAAAGATTGTGTTTAGTTGTGTTGCCAACTAAATTTCTTTCTTATTGGAGATAGGCTTATAGCTGTTTTAACTAGAAATATTTAAGTTCAGATAATTAAAACCAGTATATTCACTCTTGATCCAATAGTTGAGGATATGGAAAAACACTTGAACAAGCATAATGTTTGTTAACACAATGTCTTATGAGAGACTATTACATTGTCAGTAGAGGTTTAAATATAAAACAAAATAATCAGTACAACTTGATGAAGAGAAATAAAAATTATACTTTATACCTATAGATGGTATTCAAATTTTTCAGTTTTTATCTAAAAGCATTTCCTATGCTATTTCTTTATGAATTGTGTGTTCCACTTGTATTCAGACTCAACCTAATCAGATCCAACCTCACACGGAAGATCAACATCTTAAAGTTGATAACCAGTTGGAATAAATAAGATAAATCACAAATAGGATAAAGAATAAATAAGAAAGGATATGTTTTTAAAATGGGTTTCAAAACAGAACATTTTAGATATTCTTAATTGGTTATTTTTGCACTATAGGGCATATGATGGACATAAATGAAATAGAAATAGAAATCCCAAAAGTGAAATTGAAGGGAATTCCCAACAACACAACCCAGAGTTTCAAGAAACTTCCAGTGTTCTTTTAAAAAGACACAGTGTTTGGAGTAAATTTCTTATCTACTATTACCAAATACAACTATTACAAGGGAGAATTTAAAGTTTTGTGAATTCATTTTGAGGGCTTTAGATTGATTTAGCCTGAAGGCATTTATGACCTGAATAGTTCTTTGTGATAAGTCCATTAGCTTCCCAACAGATATCACAAAACTTTTAAAGAAGTGAAAGTGGAGAAGAGGCAATCATACATTATATGAAGAAGTAAAAATATTTTTACCGTCATGTAATCATCAAATAAAAACGAGCAAAGTTATATTAGAACATTAGTATGTTTTTTGAGGCTCTTGTTTACATAGACAATATTCTATAAAATATAATAGAGGTTGACAAATATTTTCCTCTTTGTGAGCTTCTTTATATGGAAATTGTATAAAACTAAAAATTATCATTTTCACTTGCTTATAAAATGTATGCTTTATTGAAAGGTACATTTATTCAAAGGTCAAATTATCCAGAAAATAAGTGACATGTAATGCTGAATAAATAAAACAAAGTGATGTTTTTAAATGATTCTTTTAATTCTGTCTCCTTTATCATTTATTCTTTTTTAACTATAGAAGAGTACATTTCTCTTTGGGGCCAAATCTCCCAGTGCTCAGGAGAAGGTTTTCTTGCATGTTAGTGGATATGCCTGCTTTATTCTAACAGAATCTGTGTCCAATTGAGCAAGAAATAACATCAAGAATGAATAAGTGGGATCATTTCAAACTAAAAAGCTTCTGCATAGCAAAAGAAACAACCAACAGAGTGAAGAGGCAACATACAGAATGGGGAAAAACTTTGCCAGCTGCTCCTCAGACAGAGAACTAACATCTAGAATACATAAAGAACTCAGAAAAATTAGATTCCCGAAAATAGAAGACCCAATCAAAAAACAGGCAATTAAAACGAATAGACACTTCTCAAATGAAGTACAAAGAGCCAGTAAGTACGTGAAAAAATTGTTCAGCATGTCTGGCCATTAGAGAATGCAAATCAAAACAATACTGAGATTCCACCTTGGTCTGGAAAGAATGGCTACCATCAAGAATTCAAACGGCAAATGCTGGCAAGGGTAGGGAGAGAAAGGGATCCTTCTACACTGTTATTGGGAATGTAAACCAGTACATACACTCTGTAAATCAGGATACAGAGTCCTCAGAAAACTAAAAGTAGAAATTCCATTTGACCCAGCTATACCTCTTCTGAGAATCTTCCCAAAGGAGTTAAAGTCATCCTGGTACAGTGCTACATGCATATCTGTTTTTATGGCAACTCAACTCGCAACAGCTAACTCTTGGAAGGGGCTGATAGGACATAGAAAGGAATGGATAGAGAAAATGTGACATGTACACAGTGGCGTACTCCAGCCACAGAGAGGAGTAGATATGACCCACTTGAGGGAAAATGGATGACCTTGAGATCATAATGCTGAGTGAAATACATCAGACACGTGAGGCTAAAGAGTGCATGGTGTCTCATATCAATGACCCAAATATAAGTAAGAGCAAAAAAAAAAAAAAGATGCATAATGGGAAGCAGGGTGTTAGACTTTATGGAGATGGGAAGGGGATCTGGAGATGCATGGAGATAGGAGAGTGAGGGGGGAGACTGAGATTCCACCATATTCCAAATAGAAGTGATGAAGATGCGATGTGTATGTGGGCTGATTCCCCAGGATGAGTCACGAGTATGCATTGCAAACATATACAGTGGACCCTCAAGTTACAACCA